GTCACTACCCGCCTCCGTAGCCTCCTCCACATGACCACCCCCCAACTAAACCCCACTGGATTAAGGGGCGGCACCGGACTAAAGGGCAGCACCGGACTAAGGGGCAGCACCGGACTAAGGGGCAGTACCGGACTAAGGGGCAGCACCAGGATAAGGGGCAGCACCGGGCTAAGGGACAGCACCGGACTCAATGGCGGATCCTGGCTGGCTGGCTCTGGCGGATCCTGGCTGGACGGCTCTGGCGGATCCTGGCTGGACGGCTCATGGCTGGCTGAAGGATCTGGCTGCTCATGGCTGGCTGACGGATCTGGCTGCTCATGGATGGCTGACGGATCTGGCTGCTCATGGCTGGCCGACGGATCTGGCTGCTCATGGCTGGCCGACGGATCTGGCTGCTCATGGCTGGCTGAAGGATCTGGCTGCTCATGGCTGGCTGACGGATCTGGCTGCTCATGGCCGGCTGACGGATCTGGCTGCTCATGGCTGGCGGAAGGCTCTGGCTGATCCTGTCTGGCGGAAGGCTCTGGCTGATCCTGTCTGGCAGAAGGCTCTGGCTGATCCTGTCTGGCAGAAGGCTCTGGCTGATCCTGTCTGGCGGAAGGCTCTGGCTGATCCTGTCTGGCAGAAGGCTCTGGCTGATCCTGTCTGGCGGAAGGCTCTGGCTGATCCTGTCTGGCGGAAGGCTCTGGCTGATCCTGTCTGGCAGAAGGCTCTGGCTGATCCTGTCTGGCAGAAGGCTCTGGCTGATCCTGTCTGGCGGAAGGCTCTGACGGCTCATGGCAGACGGGCGGCTTAAGCGCCTTTGGGCAGACGGGCAGTTCAGGCCCCGTTGGGCAGACGGCAGACTCTGGCCGTCTGAGGCGCACCGTAGGCCTGAAGCGTGGTGCCGGAACTGGAGGTACCGGGCTGAGGACGCGCATCTCAGGGCTAGTGCGGGGAGAAGCAACAGGGCATGCTGGACCCTGGGAACGCACATAACGCCTAGTGCGGAGAGCCGGAACAGGGCATGCTGGACCCTGGGGACTCACATAACGCCTAGTGCGGAGAGCCGGAACAGGGCATGCTGGACCCTGGGGACTCACATAACGCCTAGTGCGGGGAGAAGGAACAGGGCATCCTGGACCCTGGGGACGCACATAAGGCCTAGTGCGGAGAGCCGGAACAGGGCATGCTGGACCCTGGGGACTCACATAACGCCTAGTGCGGAGAGCCGGAACAGGGCATGCTGGACCCTGGGGACTCACATAACGCCTAGTGCGGAGAGCAGCAACAGGACGCACAGGACTCGGGGAACACACAGGAGGCTTGGTGCGTGGTGTAGGCACTGGTGGTACTGGGCTGGAGCGGGGAGGTGGCGCCGGAAATACCGGACCGTGCAGGCTTACTGGCCCCCTTGAGCACTGAGCCTGCCCAACCTTACCCGGGTTGATGCTCCCCGTCGCCCGACCAGTACGGGGAGGTGGAATAACCCGCACCGGCCTATGTGGGCGAACCGGGAACACCATGCGTAAGGCTGGTGCCATGTACGCCGGCCCGAGCAGACGCACTGGTAGCCGGATGCGTTGGGCCGGCTTCATGACATCTGGCTCAATGCTCACTCTAACCCGGCCGATACGTGGAGCTGGAATGTGTCGAACCGGGCTATGCCTGCGTACAGGAGACACCATGCGCTCTACTGCGTAACACGGTGTCTGCCCGTACTCTCGCTCTCCACGGTAAGTCCAGGGAGTAGGCGCAGGTCTCCTACCTGACTTCGCCACACTCCCTTTTAGCCCCCCCCCAAGAAATTTTTGGGTAGTACCCACGGGCTTCCAGCCTCGACTCCGTGCTGCCTCCTCATACCACCTCCTCTCGGCTTTAGCTGCCTCCAGCTCTTCACGAGGGCGGCGATATTCTCCCGGTTGTGCCCAAGGACCCCTTCCATCCAGTATCTCCTCCCATGTCCATGAATCCTTGATAGGCGTCCATGAATCCTGTTGCCGCTTGACACGCTGCTTGGTCCTTTTATGGTGGGTTTTTCTGTCACGATCGTCTAAAACAGGAGACCAAGGCGCAGCGTTGCGAGTGAACATGATGACTTTAATTAGACAAGCACGTCAAAACAAAAGACGAAAGTGAAGTCCAACAGTGACAAAATACTGAACATGGAACAAAAACCCACAACCCTCATGAGAACACAAACAGTTTAAATATGGCTCCCAATCAGAGATAACGAGCCGACAGCTGACACTCGTTACCTCCGATTGGGAGTCAATGACCAAACCTAGAAATAAACGTGACAGAAATGCAACCATAGAAAATCACCCAAAACCCAACAAAACACAATACACCCTGGCTCAAATACAAAAGTCCTGGAGCCAGAGTGTCACAGAAGTCAAGGTAAGCTTTTGGTTTTAACTGCTAAACTGCTTGCTGACTGTACACTGTACTGCATGATTGTAGCGGGTTTACTAATGCGTTAGTTCTAGTAGTTATGTTGTTTATGACGTTAGCTAATATGGTGACAATGATATAGGCTGTGTGTAGCGTTTAGCAGTTATGATATGAAGGTTTGGCTTGTAAAGATTTTTTTGCCTGGTCACATTCAGCTGATGTGAAACTCCATCATGCGAAATATCTCTGCACTGAAGTCCACAAGCGGAGGTAAAAAGTGAGAGGAGGAGAGCGAGTAGATGAGATAATTTCTTAAACGGAATCAAACTGAATAAAACGGGGATAAACATATCTGAATTTGTCCAATATAAACTTTTCTTTGCAACTGTTGGACTAATGATTAAACCCTAGATCAACTAGATGCAGGTAAGAGTGTGCAAGGCGGTGTTGAATGTATCACTGTCTGTCGCCTTAATTACATTAAAAAAACTCACAACCTGTGCACCTACGTTGTAAACTTACATTCATAGGCAAGGTTGTAGCAACCTCATGATGGGTATAGGGAAAATTAGAGTATCATGTAGTAGCCTAAACCTATTGATGTAACATTGAGCTGGGTGAATGGAATATGAATGACAGTCATCCAATATACTGTAATATAAAGAAGGCCATGCTCATAAAAAAACGAATCGCCCTCCCTCATCTTAAATGTCACAGACCGCCACTGCTGTGAAAATGTATTACAGTGTGTGTGTGTGTGTGTTTGTGTTTTTGTGTGTGTGTATGTGTGTGTATGTGCGTGTTTGCATGTGTGTGTGCGTATAAAAGCCGTAAAGATGTATGGCAGCTTCAGCTGAAGGTTTAAATCCTCCGATGGCCACACTGTAGATGGTCTGAGAGAGGCAGAGAGACTTGGAGATGTAACTCAGGGTTACAAAAGCAAGGGATCATTCTAGCACGCATAAGGTCCATTTAGTCTGACAGCGGGAAAGTGCTCCCCACCCCTGTGGCCCTTAATGTATTTGTTTGTCTGCAGTCGTTACCTTCCGCCATCCAGCGAGCTGATAAACACACAGCCTCCAGCTTTGCTCTGATCACAGCAGCCCCTCCACTCTTCACATCAACACCACAGCATTTTAGGGCTGTTTTCTTTGTCTCCAAATGCCATTGTCATTCAGCCTGGCTGTCCGGGCTCCCACCCTCCCACATTGTAACCATTTATTATGAACAGCACGATGACAATTACAATGTTCATGTAGGAATCGCTGTGGCACTTATTACTTTTTTAATGAAACTGTAATCACTGACACATCAGAGCTAAGTGAGCGGAGCTTTGGTGTGGTTGTAATTCAACCAGCCCGTCCGCTGCTGTAATTGACACATCTGATTATGGCTGACCCTCCAGTCCAAGCGCTGTGTGGGATAGTGTGTTTGTGTGTGTGTGTGTGTGTGTGTGTGTGTGTGTGTGTGTGGTTGTGTGTTTATGTAGTTGTGTGTATGTGTGGTTGTTTGTGTGTGTGTGTGTGTGTGTATAGTTGTGTGCATGTGTGTGGTGGTGTATATGTGTGTGTGTGTGTGTAGATGTGTGCATGTGTGTGGTTATGTGTATGTGTGTAGTTGTGTGTATGTGTGTGGTTGTGTGTGTGTGTGTGTGTGTGTGTGTGTGTGTAGTTGTGTGTGGCTGTGTGTATGTGTGGTTATGTGTAGTTGTGTGTGTGTGTGTGTAGTTGTGTGTATGTGTGTAGTTGTGGTTATGTGTGTGATTGTGTGTGTGTGTGTGCTGCCCCTCTGCCACCGCCACTATGGCCACCTCTCAGCTCAGCCAGCAGGAATTAGGGAGTAAGGCCACATCGGAGGGTATAAATAGCAACGTCACAAACTTACCGAAGCTTCAGTTTCCAACAGTATGATCACACACTCAGACATGTACGCTAGACCGTCACACACACACCCGTGTGCGGGTGTGAGCACAGCCACACACACAGCTGTGCACAGACCTTTTCTATACACACACACACACACACACACACACACACACACACACACACACACACACACACACACACACACACACACACACACACACACACACACACACACATACACAGTGAGAGAGAAAGAGAAAAAGTGTCACACAGAGACCATGCTGTGCAAGCACACCCCGTACTCTCTGTCCCCCATCCCCTAAATTGGGTACCTAAAGAGCTTGTCTTTGACCTATGCCAGTAAGCCAGCAGCGTTGTGCAGGGTGTCATGTTACCTCAGCCACTACATTCATCTCCCTCTGCAGACACCCAGGCTTCATTCTCTTCTCCCAGCAAAGTCAAAAGAACAACAACAGCAGCCCACACCTGGCGCTATAGAACACAGACAGACATTGAGATCCAGGCTAGAGCTCGGCTGGACAGTCAGGCAGGAAGAGAAGCCAGAAAATTCATGAGCAGCAAGTACTGTACATGGTGAATATTACTGGATGGGCTATTGGAATTTGATGTGCTGGGTGTAACTGTAAACTGTAAAGTTTATGTATCATTCATCCCCAGTGTGACTTTATTTGACAGGATTTGTATTGATAACAGTCCTGTGACAGTTAGGTGACAGACACTCACTTCTCTTTTCTGCCAGCCCAGCCCAGCGAGCAGGAGGCAGGGGCCAGGAGGCTGGAGGGAGAGGAGACAAGAGGAGAAAAGGGGAGAGGAGAAGAGGGGAGAGGAGAAGAGGGGAGAGGCAGGAGGCAGGCAGCCACCCGGCTCATTATGTAATCCACACCAGGCTCTGCTGGAAGTACTGACAGTTCTTTAGACGGACACTAGTTTTTAAAACAGAATGTATATTTTTCTACGAGCTCCCACCAGACTGTGCGTGTGTGTGAGCATCTTAATTTGTAAGATCTTAATTTGATCACCTTGTTGCAGGAGAACTTCTGAAGTTTCTAATTTCCACTTTGAAATTTCAGACTTCATTTTCCCTTATGAAATATGTATCAACCCCTACAAAGATGTCCATTAATTATAATCCACATAATAATTCACATTTCCTGTTTCTGCAGGATTCTTTTCCTGCTGTAGCAAACTGGCTCAAATATCTTAAATCTATACACTTCCAGGTAGAACCCAGGTAGAACCCTTTTGGGATCCATGTAGAAAGGGTTCTTGGAGGCTGCTGAGGGGAGGACGGCTCATAATAATGGCTGGAACGGAGCAAATGGAATGGCATCGAACACGTTGAAACCATGTGTTTAATGTTTTTGATACCATTCCACCTATTTTGCTTAAACCATTACCACAAGCCCGCCAATTAAGGTGCCACCAACCTCCTGTGTTCTACATTGAACCCAAAAGGGTTCTACCTGGAACCAAAATGGTTCTACCTGGAACCAAAAATGGTTCTTCAAAGTGTTCTCCTATTGGGACAGCTGAAGAAACCTTTTAGGTTCTAGATAGCACCTTTTTTTCTAATAGTGTATGTGTGTGACTGTACGTGTTTGCCAGTTTGTGTGCATGCATTTTTGTGAGTTTCTGTGTATGTCTATGGCATGTCGGTGTGTCAATGCATGTGTCTGCCTGGTGAGTGTGTCTGCATGAGTGCGTTAACGACATATGATATCCTCAGCTCCTTGTGATGGGTGTTGCAAAATGCTGAAATGCTGTCTTACTCACAGTCTCCAATTGAAGCAACCCTGATAAAGACCTGCAAACAGTCAAATCCTCAGCCTGCCAAACCAAAACACACTGACAAGCCCTGCTACCTTTTTAAGTGTTCCCCTGAAGAAAATAGTTCTTCAAGTGACAACAACAACCCTAAAAACTGTCAGAGAAATTAAACACATGCTTTGCTGACAGAGTCATAGGGAGGTAAGAATGGAAAAGCTGGGGCTGATATACACATTCTTTCTACGAGTCCGTATTTGGAAGGCCTTCAGAATGCATCCCAAATGGCACCCTATTCCCTATGTAGTGCACCATATAGGGAATAGGGTGCGATTTGAGACGTAACATTCTTTCATGTTGAGAGAGAGAGAGGGATGAAAATTAAACACTGTTGTTATTGGTTTCTCTGTTGTTACAAATACACTGAACAAAAATATAAACGCAACATGCAACAATTTCAAAGATTTTACTGAATTACAGTTCATATAATGAAATCAGTCAATTTAAATAAATTCATTAGGACCTAATCTATGGATCAGCGTGACATGCATAGAGTCTCCTTCGCAAAGAGTTGATCAGGCTGTTGATTGTGGCCTGTGGAATGTTGTCCCACTCCTCTTTAATGGCTGTGTGAAGTTGCTGGATATTGGCGGGAACTGGAACACACTGTTGTACACGTCGATCCAGAGCATCCCAAACATGCTCAATGGGTGACATGTCTGGTGAGTATGCAGGCCATGGAAGAACTAGGATGTTTTCAGCTTCCAGGAATTGTGTACAGATCCTTGCGACATGGGGCTGTGCATTTTCATGCTGAAACATGAGGTGATGGTGGCGGATGAATGGCACGACAATGGGCCTCAGGATCTCGTCATGGTATCTCTGTGCATTCAAATTGCCATTGAGAAAATGCAGTTGTGTTCGTAGCTTATGCCTGCCCATACCATAAACCCACCTCCGCCATTGGGGCACTCTGTTCACAATGTTGACATCAGCAAACCGCTCGCCCACACGACGCCATACATGCTGTCTGCCATCTGACCGGTACGGTTCAAACCGAAGTCGGTTACGATGCCGAACTGCAGTCAGGTCAAGACCCTGGTCAGTACAAAGAGCACGCAGATGAGCATCCCTGAGACGGTTTCTGCAAAAATGATTCGGTTGTGCAAACCCACAGTTTCATCAGCTGTCTGGGTGGCTCGTCTCAGACCGTCCCGCTTGGGAAGAACACGGATGTGGAGGTCCTGGGCTGGAGTGGTTACACATGGTCTGTGGTTGTGAGGCCGGTTGGACGTGCTGCCAAAGTCTCTAAAACAACATTGGAGGCAGCTTATAGTAGACAAATAAACATTTAATTCTTTGGCAATAGCTCTGGTGTACATTCCTGCAGTCAGCATGCCAATTGCACACTCCCTCAAAACTTGAGGCATCTGTGGCTTTGTGTTATGTGACAAAACTGCACATTTTAGAGTGACTTTTTATTGTCCCTAGCACAAGGGGCAACTGTGTAATGATCATGCTGTTTAATCAGCTTCTTGATATGTTACACCTGTCAGGTGGATGGATTATCTTGGCAAAGCAGAAATTCTCACTAACAGGGAAGTAAACAAATGTGTTCACAAAATTTGAGCGAAATAAGCTTTTTGTGCGTATGGACAATTTCTGGGATCTTTTATTTCAGCTCATGAAACATGGGACCACTAATTTACATATTTTTGTTCACTATAAAACAAGACTTTATCAGAGGAAGTGCTACCTACCTGTTCTCCAAAGACAGTACAGTATGAAGATAGGCAGAAACTGCTTCTCCAATAGAAATCCCCGATCACACTTGTCACACGAATCAAGGGCAGTATGAAAAAAAAAATAATAATAATAATAATAATAAAAAACATAATAATAATGTATGCACTCACTACCTGTAAGTCACTCTGGATAAGAGCGTCTGCTAAATGACTAAAATGTAAATGTAAATGTAATATCATGGCGACGTTGGCTGGCTAAGCTCATGTGCAGAAACACATCTTCTGGTCTAACGTTCTTCTCGTGCCGAACTGCGCATGTGCAGGCCGTCAAATCAAATCAAATCAAATCAAATCAAATTTTATTGGTCACATGCGCCGAATACAACAGGTGCAGACATTACAGTGAAATGCTTACTTACAGCCCTTAACCAACAGTGCATTTATTTTAAACAAAAAAGTAAGAATAAAACAACAACAAAAAAGTGTTGAGAAAAAAAGAGCAGAAGTAAAAAATAAAGTGACAGTAGGGAGGCTATATATACAATAGAATAAAGTGACAGTAGGGAGGCTATATATACAGGGGGGTACCGTTGCATAGTCAATGTGCGGGGGCACCGGCTAGTTGAGGTAATATGTACATGTGGGTAGAGTTAAAGTGACTATGCATAAATACTTAACAGAGTAGCAGCAGCGTAAAAAGGATGGGGTGGGGGGGCAGTGCAAATAGTCCGGGTAGCCATGATTAGCTGTTCAGGAGTCTTATGGCTTGGGGGTAGAAGCTGTTGAGAAGTCTTTTGGACCTAGACTTGGCACTCCGGTACCGCTTGCCGTGCGGTAGCAGAGAGAACAGTCTATGACTAGGGTGACTGGAGTCTTTGACAATTTTGAGGGCCTTCCTCTGACACCGCCTGGTATAGAGGTCCTGGATGGCAGGGAGCTTTGCCCCAGTGATGTACTGGGCCGTACGCACTACCCTCTGTAGTGCCTTGCGGTCAGAGGCCAAGCAGTTGCCATACCAGGCGGTGATGCAACCAGTCAGGATGCTCTCGATGGTGCAGCTGTAGAATTTTTTGAGGATCTGAGGACCCATGCCAAATCTTTTTAGTCTCCTGAGGGGGAATAGGCTTTGTCGTGCCCTCTTCACGACTGTCTTGGTGTGTTTGGACCATGATAGTTCGTTGGTGATGTGGACACCAAGGAACTTGAAGCTCTCAACCTGTTCCACTACAGCCCCGTCGATGAGAATGGGGGCGTGCTCAGTCCTCTTTTTTTTCCTGTAGTCCACAATCATCTCCTTTGTCTTGGTCACGTTGAGGGAGAGGTTGTTGTCCTGGCACCACACGGCCAGATCTCTGACCTCCTCCCTATAGGCTGTCTCATCGTTGTCGGTGATCAGGCCTACCACTGTTGTGTCGTCGGCAAACTTAATGATGGTGTTGGAGTCGTGCCTGGCCATGCAGTCATGGGTGAACAGAGAGTACAGGAGGGGACTGAGCACGCACCCCTGAGGGGCCCCCGTGTTGAGGATCAGTGTGGCAGATGTGTTGTTACCTACCCTTACCACCTGGGGGCGGCCCGTCAGGAAGTCCAGGATCCAGTTGCAGAGGGAGGTGTTTAGTCCCAGGATCCTTAGCTTAGTGATGAGCTTTGAGGGCACTATGGTGTTGAATGCTGAGCTGTAGTCAATGAATAGCATTCTCACGTAGGTGTTCCTCTTGTCCAGGTGGGAAAGGGCAGTGTGGAGTGCGATAGAGATTGCATCATCTGTGGATCTGTTGGGGCGGTATGCAAATTGGAGTGGGTCTAGGGTTTCTGGGATTATGCTGTTGATGTGAGCCATGACCAGTCTTTCAAAGCACTTCATGGCTACAGACGTCAGTGCCACGGGTCGGTAGTCATTTAGGCAGGTTATCTTAGAGTTCTTGGGCACGGGGACTATGGTGGTCTGCTTGAAACATGTTGGTATTACAGACTCAGTCAGGGACATGTTGAAAATGTCAGTGAAGACACTTGCCAGTTGGTCAGCACATGCTCGGAGTACACGTCCTGGTAATCCGTCTGGCCCTGCGGCCTTGTGAATGTTGACCTGCTTAAAAGTCTTACTCACATCGGCTACGGAGAGCGTGATCACATAGTCGTCCGGAACAGCTGGTGCTCTCATGCATGCTTCAGTGTTGCTTGCCTCGAAGCGAGCATAGAAGTGGTTTAGCTCGTCTGGTAGGCTTGTGTCACTGGGCAGCTCGCGGCTGTGCTTCCCTTTGTAGTCTGTAATAGTTTTCAAGCCCTGCCACATCCGACGAGCGTCAGAGCCAGTGTAGTATGATTCAATCTTAGACCTGTATTGACTCAAAGGCACTCCTTCGATATAAAGTTGTTTTTGACTAAAATGAAAACATCAGTTTATTTCTTTTACAAGGTTGTTTTATAAGACATTGGCTCGAATCAAGAAAATTAACAACTAAGGAAGAATGTTTAACTTCTCTCATTTACTTCTGAAACCCCAGTGTGTTCTCCTTTGAATTTAACTAATTTCCCCGTTCCTGTCATATTATTTACAAAAAGCAAGTATTAGGGAGCTGTGACAGTTAATTTCACACATCTCAGACAAGAAAGTAAGTGGAAGTCTGTACAGGAGCCCACCCATTACCAATTTGCTGCCTGTACTCTCTCATTCGGTTCCTAAACATTTCACTGTTATAATCACTGGTAACAGACTGTGAATGCCATTAAATGGATATTTCAGGATGTTGGCAATGCCCTTTATCTACTTCCCCAGAGTCAGATGAACTCTTGGATACCATGTCTATGTCTCTCTCTGTGGAAGTTGCTATGTTGCGTTAGCGCAATTGCTAACTAGTTTTAGCGCAATGACTGGAAGTCTATGGGAACAGCTAGCATGCTAGCTGTTCCTGTAGACTTCCAGCTGTTCCCATAGACTTCCAGTCATTGAGCTAATGCTAGTTAGCATTGGCTCGCAAAACTACCTCTAACTTCTTTCATACTGGACATAGAGACAAAAAAAATGTTGCCTTACCTTTTATATCCCAAAAAACAAAAACACTGCATGCATCACTAGAGAACAAAAAGGTACAACAGAGATTTTGGGGAGGAAAACCATCGGTGCATAAAAAAGGTAAGCCTTCAAGTCAATTGGTTGAATTGCAGCTTCTCTCTCTTTGGGCTCATTTCATATGCCTTGTGTGCTGTGTGTGCCAGGTTTGATCCTCTAGTGCACCTGCATTTGGCTCAGTAGGCCTGAAGGCTGATGTTGTGTCTCTGTCCTGGGCGTTCTATCTGATTATAATAATTGTCTTAATGCTCCTTGTTTTACTATCCTTGTGAGGACTTCTGGTCCCCACAAGGAGGAGGACTTCTGGTCCCCACAAGGATAGTAAAACCAAAAACACACACTCTTCCATGGAAGGGTCTGGGGAGGAGAGACCGACTACTGTGTCTGATAACCAAGCCATTAACTAAAATGAACTGAATCTGAGCTGTCTTAATGTTCTTCATTTTTTATTTATTAATGGACAGTTAATTATGGGGGGGAGTTAGTTCCTTTGCCATGCAAATATAGAAAAATGATCTCAGAATAGTTGTATTAGATATGTTTGCTAGATAAAGGAGGTCCTTATTCATACCCTATTACTGTTGCACCTGGCATAAAGATACAGCTACCCTATCTGTATCCCATCCAAACCCACACACCTACCTGATCCCTGTTTTTGACTGGATGTCATAATTCACTGATGTCCTCCCTGTCTGCACTTTTCTTCCCACTCCCTGTTGTTTACCAGTAACTTCCAAAATAAAGGAAACACTAACACAAAGTGTATTAATATGGCATTGGGCCACCATGACTCAGAACAGCTTGAATGCACCTTGGCATAGATCAGTGTTTCCCAAACTCGGTCCTAGGGACCCCAAGGGGTGCATGTTTTGGTTTTTGCCCTAGCACTACACAGCTGATTCAAATAATCAAAGCTTAATGATTAGTTGATTATTTGAATCAGCTGTGTAGTGATAGGGCAAAAACCAAAACGTGCACCCCTTGGGGTCCCCAGGACCGACTTTGGGAAACGCTGGCATAGATGCTACAAGTGTCAGGAACTCTATTGGAGGGATGTGACACCATTCTTCCACAAGAAATTCTATAATTTAGTGTTTTGTTGATAGTGGTGGAAAACGCTGTCTCAGGCGCCAGTCCAAAATCTCCCATAAGTGTTAAATTGGGTTGAGATCTGGTGACTGAGACTGCCATGGCATATGATTTACAACGTTTTCATGCTCATCAAACCATTCAGTGACCACTTGTGCCCTGTGGATGGGGGCATTGTCATCCAATGGGGGCATAGCCATGGTAGCCAAAATAATGCCCAGCATTTCTATACATGACCCTAAGCATGATGGGATGTTAATTGCTTAATTAACTCAGGAACCACACCTGTGTGGAAGCACCTGCTTTCAATATATTTTATATTCTTCATTTACTCAAGTGTTTCTATTATTTTGGCAGTTACCTGTATGTGTGTGTGACTATGCAGATCTTCTTCCCCTGTCCTGTAGGTACAATGTAGCAGTGCTGCATGCTGATCTTGTCTCCCCCTCCCTGTCCTGTAGGTACTACGTGTGCGTGACAGTGCTGATCTACTTCCTGCCTCTACTGGTGATGGGCTGCGCCTATCTGGTGGTGGGCCTCACTCTCTGGGCCAGTAACATACCTGGAGACTCCTCTGACCGCTACAAGGAGCAGCTCACTGCCAAACGCAAGGTACAGCACACTATAATAAAAGGTACAGTACAGTAACCCTGGGTTACACCAGCCCAGCTCACAGCCAAACACAAGGTACCATACACTAACACTGGGTTTAAAGAAATAGCATTGACCATAGTATTATATAATGTACTTTGTCTCTGTTGTTTACATGCTCTACAGTAGCCCAGCTCACAGCCAAATGCAAGGTACAGGTGTACAGTAGGATCTTCATTGATCACCCTGTTGCAGGATAACTTTCTTGCAATGCAGGACATTTTAAACTTGTAGTGTATTTGAGGTTTATATATTTTTTAAAGTCCATTATAATCCACATAACAATTCAAAATTTCTGTTGCTGCAGGATTATTTCCCTGCTATTACACACTGGCTGAAATTAAGATCACAAATCCATACACTTACAAATCAGGGGTGTTGTATGGTAAATATTTACTGTGGGGCTCTGGGAAGCAGCAGATGATTCCAGAATTGAGTACAGTAACTCTGCATGGGTTCACACCATAGTAAGCTATGGTTTACATGCTCTGCTAGCTACAGCCCCGTCGATGAGAAAGGGGGTGTGCTCGGTCGTCTTTTTCCTGTAGTTCACAATCATCTCCTTTGACTTGATCAAGTAGAGGGAGAGGTTGTTATCCTGGTACCACACGGCCAGGTCTCTGACCTCCTCCCTATAGGCTGTCTCATCGTTGTCGGTGATCAGGCCTACCACTGTTGTGTAATTGGCTAAATTAATGATGGTGTTGGACTCATGCCTGGCCATGCATTCATGGGTGAACAGGGAGTACAGGTGGGGACTGAGATCGCACCCCTGAGGGGCCCCCGTGTTGAGGATCAGCGTGGCAGATGTGTTGTTACCTACCCTTACCACCTGGAAGTCCAGGATTCAGTTGCAGAGGGAGGTGTTTAGTCCCAGGGTCCTTAGCTTAGTGATGAGCTTTGAGGGCACTATGGTGTTGAACGCTGAGCTGTAGTCAATGAACAGCATTCACACGTACAGTACCAGTCCAAAGTTTGGACACACCTACTCATTCAAGGGCTTTTCTTAATTTTTTACTATTTTCTACATTGCAGAATAATAGTAAAGACATCAAAACTATGAAATAAGTAACTCTGGGTCTTCCATTCCAGTTTCATCATAGAGCTTGATGGTTTTTGCGACTGCACTTGAAGAAACTTTCAAAGTTCTTGAAATGTTCCGTATTGACTGACCTTCTGTGGTGTCGAGACAACGATGCTGATATGCTGTGTTGACAAGAAATCCGAGGACACTGAACTCTGATTATAATGGTTTATTATATCAAAGATTTTCAGCATCAATTTACAGACTTCTGCAGAAATCCGGAGAACAACTAACCCAATCTAAAAATGATTATTCTCCCCGTCCTTTGTTCAAAACCTGGTATATATCCTATGTAACATAATATCGCGTGATTTGAATAGACCAATCCCTGACCTTCACATAGCAGACTCTCCTCTGTTTTAGGGGGCCCCTATATTAATGCTTTCCAGATGTTTCCGCAAGCAGAGCCAAGTTCTGGGATGTTCAGATACTACACTTCATTTCTTAAAGTAATGATGGACTGTTGTTTCTCTTTGCTTATTTGAGCTGTTCTTGCCATAATATGGACTTGGTCTTTTACCAAATAGGGCTACTTTCTGTATACCCCCCTACCTTGTCACAACACAATTGATTGGCTCAAACGCATGAAGAAGGAAATAAATTCCACAAATTAACTTTAAAGAAGGCACAGCTGTTAATTGAAATGCATTCCAGGTGACTACATCATGAAGCTGTTTGAGAGAATGCCAAGAGTGTTCAAAGCTGTCATCAAGGCAAAGGGTGGCTATTTGAAGAATCTCAAATATAAAATATATTTTGATTTGTTTAACACTTTTTTGGATACTACATGATTCCATATGTGTTATTTCATAGTTTTGATGTCTTCACTATTATTCTACAATGTAATTTTTTTTACAAATAAACAAAAACACTTGAATGAGTAGGTGTGTCCAAACTTTTCACTGGTAATGTAGGTGTTCCTTTTGTCCAGGTGGGAAAGGGCAATGTGGAGTGCAATAGAGATCGCATCATCTGTGGATCTGTTGGGGCGGTATGCAAATTGGAGTGGGTCTAGGGTTTCTGGGATAATGGTGTTGATGTGAGCCATGACCAGCCTTTCAAAGCACTTCATGGCTACAGACGTGAGCGCTATGGGTCGGTAGTCATTTAGGCAGGTTACCTTAGTGTTCTTGGGGACAGGGACTATGGTGGTCTGCTTGAAACATGTTGGTATTACAGACTCAGTCAGGGACAGGTGTAAAATGTCAGTGAAGACACTTGCCAGTTGGTCTGCGCATGCTCGGAGTACACGTCCTGGTAATCAGTCTGGCCCTTCGGCCTTGTGAATGTTGACCTGTTTAAAGGTCTTACTCATACCGGCTACGGAGAGCGTGATCACACAGTCGTCCGGAACAGCTGATGCTCTCATGCATTCTTCAGTGTTGCTTGCCTCGAAGCGAGCATAGATGTAATTTAGATCGTCTGGTAAGCTTGTGTCACTGGGCAGCCCGCGGCTGTGCTTCCCTTTCTAGTCTGTAATAGTTTGCAAGCCCTGCCACATCCGACAAGCGTCGGAGCCGGTGTAGTACGATTCAATCTTAGTCCTGAATTGATGCTTTGCCTGTTTGATGGTTCATCGGAGGGCATAGCGGGATTTCTTATAAGTGTCTGGGTTAGAGTCTCGCTCCTTGAAAGCGGCTGCTCTACCATTTAGCTCAGTGCGGATGTTGCCTGTAATCCATGGCTTCTGGTTAGGGTATGTACGTACGGTCACTGTGGGGACGACGTCATCGATGCACTTATTGATGAAGCCAGTGACTGATGTGGTGTACTCCTCAATGCCATCGGAAGAATCCTGGAACATATTCCAGTCTGTGCTAGCAAAACAGTCCTGTAGCTTAGCATCTGCGTCATCTGACCACTTCTTTATTGACCGAGTCACTGGTGCTTCCTGCTTTAGTTTTTGCTTGTAAGCAGGAATCAGGAGGATAGAGTTATAGTCAGATTTGCCTAATGGAGGGCGAGGGAGAGCTTTGTATGCATCTCTGTGTGTAGAGTAAAGGTGGTCTAGAGTTTTTTTCCTCTGGTTGCACATTTACCATGCCGGTAGAAATGAGGTAGAATGGATTTAAGTTTCCCTGCATTAAAGTCCCAGGCCACTAGGAGCGATGCCTCTGGATTAGCGTTTTCCTGTTTACTTATGGCCTTATACAGCTCATTGAGTGTAGTCTTAGTGCCAGCATTGGTTTGTGGTGGTATATAGACAGCTACAAAAAATATAGATGAAAACTCTCTTGGTAAATAGTGTGGTCTACAGCAAAAAAAAGAGGACTGAGCAAGCCCCCATTCTCATCGACGGGGCTGAAGTGGAACAGGTTGAGAGCTTCAAGTTCCTTGGTCTCCACATAACCAACAAACAATCATGGTCCAAACAAACCAAGACAGTCGTGAAGAGGGCACAACACAGCCTATTCCCCCTCAGGAGACTGAAAAGATTTGGCATGGGTCCTCAGATCCTCAAAAAGTTATACAGCTGCACCATTGAGAGCATCCTGACTGGTTGCATCACCGCCTGGTATGGCAACTGCTCGGCCTCCGACCGCAAGGCACTACAGAGGGTAGTGCGTACGGCCCAGTACATCACTGGGGCCAAGCTTCCTGCCATCCAGGACCTTCATAGCAGGCGGTGTCAGAAGAAGGCCCTAAACATTTTCAAAATCTCCAGCCACCCTAGTCATAGACTGTTCTCTCAGCTACCGCACGGCAAGCGGTATCGGAGCGCCAAGTCTAGGTCCAAAAGGCTTCTTAACAGCTTCTACTACCCCCAAGCCATAAGACTCATGAACAGCTAATCATGGCTACCCAGACTATTTTCATTGCCCCCCCACCCCACCCCATCCCATCCCCCTCTTTTACGCTGCTGCTACTCTGTTTATTATTTATGCATAGTCACTTTAACTCTACCCACATGTATATATTACCTCAATTACCTCGACTAACCAGTGCCCCCTTCAACATTGACTCTGTAATGGTAACCCATCAATAATGTTTTACTTAAAACTTTTTTTTATTTTCTTAAAACTGCATTGTTGGTTAAGGGCTTGTAAGTAAGCATTTCACTGTAAGGTCTACACCTGTTGAATTCAGCGCATGTGGCAAATACAATTTGATTTGATTTGATGTCTCTATCATTTTTAGTGAGGTTGATCAGGCCTCACCAGAAAGTCAGGAAAAAGGTCATTCAACACTATTAAGTGTTTGTTAGTATTCACTATGCTAATCTTAATCAGCAACACAAACGTTTTAATTACATACAAAACATGATATGATAAGACCACTGTCCTGCCTTGCCCTTCATGTTCATGAACAAATACAAATAACGGCCATTTTAGGTTTGGTAACCCCCAATGCTGTCACTTGAGGGTTTGGTAACCCCAATGCTGTCGTTTGACAGAATTTATTTTTCAAAACTCTGCTAACAATTACTCACAATATGAACTCCACTCTAATTTCTCGTGACCCCTCCTCACTTTCGTAAATTCTATAAATCTATTTCGGAATAAGATGTAATAAAACGTCTCACGAGATTAAAAACCCACCAAGGTTTTCTGAGTTTTCAAAGTGTTTGGCCTGGTAATTGTAATTTGTTACCTTTTAGAATCCATTCCCCTGGCATTTCGCATAGATTCTTCCAACCCCAAAATTGGTTCCACACCCGTCGCCATGTAACATTATCCGGGTATTGTTACTGGTCCTATGGTCAGAGACATGGGTAGTAGTCGTATCGCTTTCGATTCTGCCCCTGTTACCTTGCTGAATATAATACTTTTTCCTGTCTTAAATTTAGCCTATTTCTCATCTAAGGAATCAGTGATATTTGAGCACCGGTATCTATTCGAAAGTTGTGTGAGAAGTGTCCTCCTACATCTCCCTACACATAGAAACCGTCATCTCTATGAACCACTATCGATCAAACCGAGGCCATACACCGCTATGTGAAAGTTTCCTGCCCCGCTGCTTTCAAGAGTGTTTGCTGCTGTTCTTTTGTCAAAGTTGCAAACGCTTGCATCGCAGTATTCAAATGCAGCGGGTGCCGTAGGCTCTAGTACTACCCTACACTCATTCTTCCAATGACCAACGACCCCACATCTAAAACAGGGATCTGTCGCATTACGCTTTGATGTTTTTTTGCTACTTTTCCCTCCCTGTTTCTTTGTCTTACCTTGGCCATTGAAACCACTGTTAGTGACTCTCACTGTGGCTAAATTAACCACACGCACGGCTGCAAAGTAATCAGAATTAGATCCCAATGAAAATGTTGGTCCACTACCCCTGCAATAGCCGTTTTGATAACAGGTTTCAAACCTGCCGTCAAAGCATTCGTACACATTCTATCAATGTACTCACTTGTTCTCAACTGGCTTATCTTGTTAAATAAAGGTGAAATAAAATTAAAACATTAAAACGTACCCAGTCTTTTTGCAGCTGAGTACATCTACTAATTTTGTTTTTATCGGTTTTTATTTTTTGTTGATAGAATTCTGACATCAAAACACTGGTGTATTTAGCTTTAGATTTTTATTCTATGTCATTGTGCCAAGTCACAATTGCATCTCTGAATTCTTTATTAGATTGGAATTTTCCATCAATAGGAAAATGCTGAGCAATTTTATCAAATTTGCTAAATTTTTCCCATATTCGAGACGAATTAGTAGAATGCTTGTGCGCCTCTTTCAGCGCCTCTATGGCTTTATTAAACTTTTCTTCCTCTAGCCCCCCTTCACAGGGAGAATCGGGGTCGCCAGTCGCCATTTCAATAGTTATTATTCCGACGCCTCTCCCGACGGTGTCCAGAGTGTTTAGATTTCTTCACCCATGGCTCTAATACTCGCCAATTTTAACTATAAATATTTTGTTATTGTATTTAGTTATCCCACTTCCCGGAGAGTAGTTACGGTATTGGTACCAAATAATTTGGTGACTGGACCTGATACCTTGAATTAGAAACAATACTGAAGCTTCTGCCAATTTACTAATGGAGAATACGGATGACCTAATGTCTTATTCAAATATCATTGTTGTTGACAACACATGTAACCAAAATTATTCACAGTTGTCTTCTTATTTCCACACAATCTGTCACGGTTCCCCGCCCCGATCTAAATCGTGGTGAATCCTGTTCACAGCGCCAACTGTTCTAAATGAACAGAGAAAAACTCACGGACAACTAGTAATGTTCAAACCAAGTTTATTCACCCACTGGGTCACACAGCTGCATAAGACAAAGACATGTTTACACAAGCACATATATTTATACCTTCCTCCTATGACGAGTCTCCTCCTTGCACATCTAGACAGCCAATACATCTCTGTTGCTAGACAGGACTTTAGTGATGCCTGTTCTTTCTCACTTCATTTGACCTGACCTCGGCCCAAATTCCTCACTCCTCCCCAACTCACGGCTGTCCTACCTTATCTGTTGACTGAAACCAGACTGTGGCCCTTCTCCTCTCCATAGGATACCTGATGTCTAACAATAACATGTTCTGACAGAATGTACCATTTCAGTAACATGAATAAGGATATTTCATATTTCAAGTTTATAAGTCAGTACCAATCAACACCATAGTAAGCTAATTTGGGAGAAAACAAGAACAACTTGGCTGCATTACAGAATGTACCATTTCAGTAACATGAATAAGGATATTTCATATTTCAAGTTTATAAGTCAGTACCAATCAACACCATAGTAAGCTATGGTTTACATGCTCTGCTAGCTATTGTTCATCAAAATTTCAGTAAGAATATCTGGGGTTTATGGGGCTAGCTGTATACCGCTATGGCTGCATTTACACAGGCATCCCACTTCTGATATTCTGCCCAATGTTTGGAAAAAGCCCAATTGTATGAGCCCTGGTCAAAATCACTGCACGTTATAGGAAATTATGGTGTAATTTGGGAGAAAACAAGAACAACTTGGCTGCATTACCTCCAGGTCCAGCCAGGGAGAAGTTGAACTTTCCTTCTTTCTTCACTGACACACGTAAGACACACTACTTTCTTATTTCTCTCACACATACCGTCTTCCACTTTCTTTCCGCTGTCTTGTTCCCTTTCACCTTCTTTTCTTCAGTTGACTTCTCTCCCTGTTTATACAGTTTCACTGTATCAGGGTTAGGGTCAATTCAATATGAATTGAGGCGAAGCCAATTCACAAGATTAATTTACATTTTGATTCAACAATTGCGAAGTCCCATTTATATCAATGAAACGCCTCCTGAAATGACTGAGTCGAACTCAGAATTACATATAGAACTAATTTAATACGATCTCTGTGATTAGAATTTGAATGAACCCCAATCCTGTGGTGTATCTGTATCTCTATCTGTGTTAGGTGGTGAAGATGATGATCGTGGTGGTGTGTACGTTTGCTATCTGCTGGCTGCCCTACCACGTGTACTTCCTGCTCCACCTGTTCTCCCCCCTCCTGTTTGAGACGCTCTACATCCAACAAGTCTACCTGGCTGTTATGTGGCTGGCCATGAGCTCCACCATGTACAACCCTATCATCTACTGCTGTCTCAACGACAGGTAGGTACACTACACTACGCAGGAACACACACACAGGTGTGCGCACATGGCACACACACACACAGGCACATATGCACGCATGCAAATCCTCTTACCTGTTTTTTATTAGGTAGATTGTTTATTCAGTGCATTATTTATATGTTGAGGACCATTCATCACATATTATTCTTAACCTTTACCGTTGTGGTGAAGGCAAAATTGGAGAAAAAAACGTAGGAATTATTGCATGAACAACAACTAGTTTCTCTAATATGACTTGTTACAGTTTTTGTTTATTGCTTTGGTGCAATTTTCACAAGTATGTGGTACAAAACTCAAAACAGATCATCAAAATGGTAGTTGTTTCAAAACTCTAAGAACATTTTCAATTGACTAAGTACAACACACAAAATCATAGTCATTTTTTCACCAAACTGTTTCATCTAGAAATACGTTTCACATTGCAATACATTTTCATATAAAGTAATTGCCTTTCACAATGCAATGCTCACATTACTTTTGATATGATTCTCTTCTCTTTTTAAGACATTTTACTATTACTTAATCTGACTGATGATCACTTAAACATTTGGTAAACCTATAGATTTGGTTGGTTTTCCTAACAACCACCTGTCGGCTGTCTAGTGTCTCTGAAAGATGCCTATTTCACACTAGGTTATGACTGAGTGTCATTATAGTACAAAACAGAAATGTGAGAGTTAGTTACAGTGCTAGAGAACTGCGTCATGAACTAAGTCATGAAACATTCTGCAGTGCCCCTCTCCTCTCCACATCTGCCTCCACTCATTTTTCATCAAACACTTTCCTCTTCTTCTTACTCTGTCCTCAGCTTTTTCACATTCCCCTTTTTTAAAATATCTCCTCCTGGCCTCTCTTCTGGTCCCTGTCTGTCTGTCTGTGTCTGTCCTGTGCTATCTGTCTCTCTGTCCTTCCCTAGGTTCCGAGCTGGCTTCAAGCAGGCGTTCCGATGCTGTCCCTGTGTCCCCGCTGGCTCTTACGAGGGTCTGGAGCTCAAGTCCACACGTTATCTACAGACCCAGACCAGCATGTACAAGGCCAGCCGTATGGAGACCACTGTGTCCACCGTGCCGCACGTGGCCGACGACTTGGAGCCTCCCAGGTTTGGGGCCCTATCTGGGGCCGGGTGTGAGGCCGGGGCGCGGGGGGTTGGCGGAGGGGGAGTGGGGTTGTGTGCGGTGGCGGCACCCAGGCGCTCCTCTCTGGACCTGACTTCCAACGGCTCTTCGTCCCGCAGCGTCTCCAAGACCGTTTCGGAGACCTCCAGCTTCTACAACAACCTGCCTGAGTAGGGAGGGGAGAGGAGAGTCAGGCGCGACTAAACACTCTCTATCTCACAATATCTGCCTATGGGGACCGTGTGTGTTTGTATGCGTGTGTGTGTGTGGCCTTGAGCGTGTTTGTGTGTGTGTGTACATTTGTGTTGGTGTGTGGGTTCCATCCATGTGTGTCTTTGCCTATTTACATAATGTCCTTTCATTGAATGTTGGGCATCAAGTCTACCGCCTGTGACTAAGGCTTGGTTGGTTCCCCTTCAGAGGGCAATGCGCTTTCCACTGTGCCCTGATTCAAACGAAACAGGAGTCAGTAGACACTAAGGCCATAAGTCATACCTAGCCCACATTGCCTGATACCTACTATAGACGAGTTAGTTGAGAACGTTGCGAAAACGATGAGCACGCTTTAATGGGGCAGAAGGCTGTGTGTTGTTGTGATTCTGAATGGCCAGATAGCTAGCAACAATGACAAGTGGGGAATCGTAAGTGGCTCGTTTCAGCTAGTTTTACATTGTTTTTTTAGTTTTTTTACTGCTGTCATGTCTATGCTAATATGGCTAAAATTCGCTAGCTAGCTAACCAACAAATGTAACAATGTATTTGAGAGAAAACAAGTGCTCATTGTGCAACTTTATTTATGTTTTCAATGAACATTGGAGACTAAATATAGTTTACATGTTGTCAGCAATCTAAGCCAACCCCGTCTGTTTTGCCCCGTAGTTGCGCACGCATCGGTTTTGTTGCTAAACAACCAACCTGTCTATAGCCCAGAGAGACAAAGGCTGGGTTCAAGGCTGGGTCACAAGACTGGGTCAATACATGAAAACAAGGTTAATACAGGACCCAGCCCTAACTGAACCCTATAACCTTCACACTATCCACAAACCTTCAACTATCAGAATGTACCCAGTACTTATCTAGCATATTCACAGACCCACTCACCACACACACACAGTGTTCATATTACCACCAGTACTTCTGACTGGTGCATTAGTGTGTGATTGGTGCTTGCATGCTGGGAGCACAGTCAGTTCTCAAAAACCTTGGTATTCCAGTAGCATAGCCTCAGACCCTACAACGAAGCACAGGGTTAACAAGCCAGCACTCCATGGGACACAGTTTAAATTAGACTACTGGGGCTGAGGTGCGTTTAGCTGGTGGCCTGTCAGCATTGCTTCAGGGGAATCATGTGGGATAGAGCCAAAGAAACAGACCTGAACAGTGCTTGTCAGCTGTGTACTTCACAGGACATAAGACAGTGGAGAGACGTGGTGTGATTACATAAACAGAGAGAAACTGCACTGTGAGGCTTTTGTTAGTTCTTGTAACTAGCGATTTGAAGATGTGTCTGGATACTTAGCATAATGCCGGTGAGGGAGGGAGGAAGGGAGGGAGGCAGCTTTGAGGCAATTCTCTCTGTATACAACTTCTGGGTCTCAAATAGAACCCTATGCCTATATAGTGCACTGCTTTTGACCAGAGGGTGCCATTTGGTATGCATCCTCTGTGTGACTGTGAGTTCAGCTGTTATAGCGGTGTCTACTGATCCTTGTTGTGACACAGCAGCTCCTGTCTACCCCACCATCTGGTATTATCTGAAACCTAACAAATAATATGTACAGTTGAAGTCGGAAGTTTACATACACCTTAGCCAAATACATTTAAACTCAGGTTTTCACAATTCCTGACATTTAATCCTAGTAGAAATTCCCTGTTTTAGGTCAGTTAGGATCACCACTTTATTTTAAGAATGTGACATGTCAGAATTATTGTAGAGAAAATGATTTATTTCAGCTTTTATTTCTTTCATCACATTCCCAGTGGGTCAGAAGTTTGCATACACTCAATTAGTATTTGGTAGCATTGCCTTTAAATTGTTTAACTAGGGTCAAACGTTTAGGGTAGCCTTCCACAAGCTTCCCACAATACGTTGGGTGAATTTTGGCCCATTCCTACTGACAGAGCTGGTGTAACTGAGTCAGGTTTGTAGAACTCCTTGCTCACACATGCTTTTTCAGTTCTGCTCACAAATTTTCTATAGGATTGAGGTCAGGGCTTTGTGATGGCCACTCCAATACCTTGACTTTGTTGTCCTTAAGCCATTTTGCCACAACTTTGGAAGTATGCTTGGGGTCATTGTCCATTTGGAAGACCCATTTGCGACCAAGCTTTAACATCCTTACTGATGTCTTGAGATGTTTCTTCAATATATCCACATAATTTTCCTTCCTCATGATGCCATCTATTTTGTGAAGTGCACCAGTCCCTCCTGCAGCAAAGCACCCCCACAGCATGATGCTGCCACCCCCTTGCTTCACGGTTGGGATGGTGTTTTTCGGCTTGCAAGCAACCCCCCAGAGGACATTTCTCCAAAAAGTACGATCTTTGTCCACATGTGCAGTTGCAAACCGTAGTCTGGCTTTTTTTATGGCGGGATGTTAAGCTTGAATGGGCTAGTGACAGTGACAGCATGGAATTCAAATGCGGATATAGACAGATGGGTCAGGGGGAAAAGAGAGAATGTCCACTTGGGAGAGATGAGGATTCCTGTGCCACCGCCGCGCTGACCAGATGCTCTCAGGGTATGCGAGATCACATGATCAGACGAGGAAAGAGCAGTAGGAGTATCAGTGTTTTCTGTGGTAATCCATGTTTCCGTCAGCGCCAAGAAGTCGAGGGACTGGAGGGTAGCATAGGCTGAGATGAACTCTGCCTTGTTGGCCGCAGAACAGCAGTTCCAGAGGCTGCCGGAGACCTGGAACTCCACGTGGGTCGTGCGTGCAGGGACCACCAGATTAGAGTGGCAGCAGCCATGCGGTGTGAAGCATTTGTATGGCCTGTGCAGAGAGGAGAGAACAGGGATAGACAGACACATAGTGGACAGGCTACAGAAAAGGCTACAATAATGCAAAAGAGATCGGAATAAAATTAACTAAACATCTGGGGAAGCGAGCGAGCGGGGCCTCCCTCACTTACCTTTCACTGAAACACTAAAATATAACTCTCCCAACTTTCACTTTAGAAATTATTATAAGTAAACTACAGCGGTTCAATGTTTTCTAGGAATAGACTAACTTAGTTTATTCAGCTAGCTAACTTGGTACAGTATTCTTCCGTGAAAACCGCCCAGGGCACCGTATCCTATGACGCCATAGCTAACTAGCATGTTAGCATCCAATAACACACGGTTTTGCACCAATACTTGGTTACAACAAACTACCAATAGTGTGTTAACACACTAAACAGATCATTTGTGTCCGTGTCTAGTTCCTTACATAACGCAGAAATAATTAAACGTTGGCTAGCTAGCACAAAGTCAGTCATGCTAGCTACACAAGTGGACTACATATCTCGAATGTTCAGAAAGTGAAGCTTTACGTTGCAAAATTCTCATTGACTAAAATTATATTGTATTTAGTTGCTACAGTAATGCTAGCTGATAGTGTTGGCTAGCTAGCAATGGCTGCGGTGTTGACTTTGTTTTAAAAACGGCGTCGCTGCGAACGAATGTAGCTGGCTAGCTAACCTTGATAGTTTCTCTATACTACACCTTTATCTTTGATACAAAGACAACTATGTAGCTAGCTAACATTACACTAATCAAATCGTTCCATTGTAATGTAATGTGTGTCATATTACCTGCGGAGCGAAGTACAGCATGACTACTCGTTAGTGTTGAGACACCTTAGTTTGATTTCTTTTGATTTTCCCATGATGTCAAGCAAAGAGGCACTGAGTTTGAAGGTATGCCTTGAAATACATCCACAGGTACAAATCAAATCAAATCAAATCAAATTTTATTGGCCACATGCGCCGAATACAACAGGTGCAGACATTACAGTGAAATGCTTACTTACAGCCCTCAACCAACAGTGCATTTCTTTTTTAACAAAAATAAAACAACAACAAAAAAAGTGTTGAGAAAAAAAGTGCAGAAGTAAAATAAAATAACAGTAGGGAGGCAGGGGGGTCAATGTGCAGAGGGGGTCAATGTGCAGAGTCAATGTGCGGGGGCACCGGCTAGTTGAGTTAGTTGAAGTAATATGTACATGTGGGTAGAGTTAAAGTGACTATGCATAAATAATTAACAGAGTAGCAGCAGCGTAAAAGGATGGGGTGGGGGGGCAGTGCAAATAGTCCGGGTAGCCATGATTAGCTGTTCAGGAGTCTTATGGCTTGGGGGTAGAAGCTGTTGAGAAGTATTTTGGACCTAGACTTGGCACTCCGGTACCGCTTGCCGTGCGGTAGCAGAGAGAACAGTCTATGACTAGGGTGGCTGGAGTCTTTGACAATTTTGAGGGCCTTCCTCTGACACCGCCTGGTATAGAGGTCCTGGATGGCAGGAAGCTTGGCCCCAGTGATGTACTGGGCCGTAGGCACTACCCTCTGTAGTGCCTTGCGGTCGGAGGCCAAGCAGTTGCCATACCAGGCGGTGATGCAACCAGTCAGGATGCTCTCGATGGTGCAGCTGTATAATTTTTTGAGGATCTGAGGACCCATGCCAAATCTTTTCAGTCTCCTGAGGGGGAATAGGCTTTGTCGTGCCCTCTTCACGACTGTCTTGGTGTGTTTGGACCATGATAGTTCGTTGGTGATGTGGACACCAAGGAACTTGAAGCTCTCAACCTGTTCCACTACAGCCCCGTCGATGAGAATGAGGGCGTGCTCAGTCCTCTTTTTTTTCCTGTAGTCCACAATCATCTCCTTTGTCTTGGTCACGTTGAGGGAGAGGTTGTTGTCCTGGCACCACACGGCCAGGTCTCTGACCTCCTCCCTATAGGCTGTCTCATCGTTGTCGGTGATCAGGCCTACCACTGTTGTGTCGTCGGCAAACTTAATGATGGTGTTGGAGTTGTGCCTGGCCATGCAGTCATGGGTGAACAGGGAGTACAGGAGGGGACTGAGCACGCACCCCTGAGGGGCCCCCGTGTTGAGGATCAGTGTGGCAGATGTGTTGTTACCTACCCTTACCACCTGGGGGCGGCCCGTCAGGAAGTCCAGGATCCAGTTGC